TACAACTTCTTTTCACCTTAATTGCAACACAGCCAATGAAAGTAACATAAATTATTACCAAAGTGTGTATGTCACAAGTGAAGTCTTCAAAGATTGTTTGATGATTCTGACAACTCTTCCCATTTGCATGTACAAATGAGCTTTACCTCAATTGACGTCATCATTTCAACCAAAAGACCACAACTATCCAAAGCTCACCCACAAGAATTACTCAACTCCACTGACCCCAACATCTTAATTGGATTAAATCTGCCTTAAACTAGGTTTGGGGTCATAGTGTGGTGGGGTTTTTTTCCTCTTCTTCTTTTCTTTCTTTTTTCCTCTTTTCTTTCTTTTCTCTTTTGTTTCTTTTCTTTTTTTTTTCTTTTTTTTTTCTTTTTTTTTTTTTGGGGGGGGGAGGTTTGAATAATTCGTTTTTTAATAAGATTCACATTAGCTTTACTTAGAACTTTTTGCAGATGTCATAATTTTCATTCTTTATTTTGAAACAGCCCACTTGCCTCACTTTACTGAGGGAAATCTTTGCTATTCGGCTTACAGAATATTTATATTTATATCCATTTATATTCTACTACATTCTATTTTAATTTGGGAAGTAAAAACTATATCTTAGGCAGCAATGTTCTGAAACGAAACATGCTTTTTACTGCATATATTGGTCAGCTTGAACTGAAAATACTAATTTATGTTTTCAAACTGGAAAAAAACCCTCACATTTTTCCATCAGTCATTTGATCATGCTCCTTGGAGATCCTCACGTTTTTATGCTCACCACTACAAAATGTTACCTAGAAAGTATCAGAAAATTGGCAGCATAAGAGAGTGGTGGCTGTTGTTGCATCTGTCAGACAATGGGGCACCCACAGCTACTCTGGGCAAGATGTTCCAGTACCTCACCATCCTCATTGTGAAGAATTTCTTCCTAACATCTAATGAAAAGTTGCCCTCTTTTCCTTTAAAGCCATTACCACTTGTCCTGTCACTACAATCCCTGATAAAGTGTCTTTCCACAGCTTTCCTACAGGCCCCTTTAGGTACTGGAAGGCCACCATACAGTCTCCCTGGAGCCTCCTCTTCTCCATACTGAACGACCCCACCTCCCTCAGCCTGCCTTGATTGGAGAGGTGTTCCAACCTTTCGAGCATCCTCGTGGCCACCTCTAGACCTCTTCTAACAGCTCCATATCCTTCTTGTGCTGGAGGCCCAAGAACTGAACACAGTGCTTAAGGGGAGATAAGCTTTGCTGCAGCACATTCATACCACCTAAAGCCAAAGCCTAACAGACCAATAATGAAAGAGATGTGGCAGCAAGCAGGCAAGAATTCAGCTTTCTGAATTCTGGCTGACATGACTCTCTTCCCTGTCTTTGCAACACTTTCAAAATGAAGTATGCCAAAGGTAGTGAGGGGAGCAGCACAGAAAAGCAGAATCAAAGAAAGGTCATCTGCAGTTCAGTGTTTTTGCTGCTGTTATCTGCACTGAAAAGAGGCTAACCATGTTCACATGGAAGGTAGCTAAATGTGAGCTGGAAATCTAAAAGTACAAAGCACTGCTCATGCAGATAGTCTTGGCTTCTGAAATACTCCTAGAGATACCCACTTCACATGCACAGGGCATGTTTTGCATGAATACTGAGTCACAGGATTCAAGCTTTCTGTTGTCTCCTGCATCTCAGCACGTTCGTGACCTCTGACTACTGCACACTTCAGCACATGACTCTCCAGGAGTGGCAACTGCCAGATTTCACACACTGCAGCTCTACATCCAAAATAGCCTCATGCATCAGACCCCTGGGGACTTCTGGAATTTCCCCAGCAGTAATCACTGTGGAATGAGCTTGATAGCTCAGATTTTGTGATCAGTCATCCAAACATAAAACTCAGCACTGTCACGTAAATCGTCCTTACTCATGTGTCCTGTCCAAGGAAAACACGTAACCTAACTGTGACAATTTCTTACTCAACAGAGCTGGACCTTCTGATGAAAGCATTGATGATCTGCATCATCCTAACTGTATATTGCCTCAGTGTGCGACAGCCAGGCAAATCCTTTTTCCTGGTAATACAGCATAAGCCTCAGTTCGTTACAAAAGCTGAGCTTAGAAGAAAACTAGTTATGGACACATACAGGTACACAAGGGTAGAAAAGGGCCCTTGATTCTTGTATATGAAGGTGGTTTAAATGTATGTACATATGCAAATAAAATCTGCACCCATTAGTGTTAGCCTACACTAACATGTAGGCAAACCTGGCACTTCTTTGTGGCAGACACATCAGAAGCTCACACTGCAATCCTCATGGAGGAAATGGTGGTTTCACCCCTATGATCTCAAGGGATGCCAGAGTTGGTTTCTAATTTTTCTGCTCATTGATTCCCCCTGAATACATTTAACACTGTCCACACTTAACAGCTGTGTTTCTTATTGTTTCCTTTAGCAATCTCTCCAAGTTTTGAGAGAATCCTTACCTTTGCAAAGCTCCAAACTCCTCAGTTGCCACTCTACTGGTTTAAAAACAAAACAAAACCAACATCCTATACAACACTGTTTACTGGGATCTATTCATACTATTGTTATTTAAATGAGTCAGGTGGCAAAAATAGCCTGGATGAGCACCTTGCCTGAAGCCATTGTTCACAGAATCACAAAAGCACCAAGGTTGGAAAAGACCTTCAAGATCATCCAGTCCAACCATCCACCTATCACCAATAGTTCTCACTAAACCATGTCCCTCAACACAAAATCCAAACGTTCCTTGAACACCTCCAGGGCCAGTGACTCCACCACTCCTCTGGGCAGCCATCCAGCACCTGACCACTCTCTCAGAGAAGTAGTATTTCCTGATGTCCAGCCTGAATCTCCCTTGGTGCATCTTGAACCCATTCCCTCTAGTCCTATCATCAGTTAAATGAGAGAAGAGGCCAACCTTCAGCTCACCACAACCTCCCTCAGGTAGGTATAGAGAGCGATAATGCATCAGATTTATGCTGAATTTCATATATACATATATCAGGGAAGAATTCGTTTTCATTGAAACTAGTAAGTTGAACTACAAAAAAACAGATGACATCTTATGATTCATAGGAGGTACGAAGTCCGGATTTGAAGCCATTTCTTCCAATCTATCAAATGTATTATCTGCTGGACCCCCACACAACCTTTAAGCCCTCTAGAAGACTATAGGTACTCTTCATGTCCACACTGCTGCTCTTGTAACATCTCAGTTTCTCTTCTTGTCTGAATAGGCCACGCCACATTTCCCCAACCCTTTTCAATTTCTAATCCAACCTACAGCAAGCAACAAGCTGGCTCAGACAAGAACATCTGGAACATCTGGACTGGCTGGCTACCAACACAGAGAGCACAGCTGATGCTGCAGATTCTCTCCTAAGGCAGGGCTGCTTTGGCTTGCTCTTCCTCTGTCTACCACTGACTCAACACAAACATGTATTAACTTGATTGATATCCCTTAGACCTACAGCTCTTAGTCAAATCTTTCTGCAGTTGGGGACATGATACAAACCTTACAGGAGGAATGAGACTGAGGAAGTGGGGAAATGACAGAGGAGGACAGAAAGGCAGCTTGATCTAAGACTCAGCTACAAGCCAACAGCTTGTAGGATGACACTGCCAAATGGCCATTGAAAAGGGGTGCAAATTAGTCATAAACTACTTCATAGAATCATAGAATGGCTTGGGTTGAAACGGTGCCCAAAGATCATCTAGTTCTTCTTATCCCTGCCATGTGGGGGTTTCCTGACCACTAGGGGTAATCACGATGTTTCTGAACTGCTGGTTTCCCGTGGGAGACTAAGCAAGGAGCTGGATGAACTGCCTGATCCATTAAGAGGACAAAGCTCAGGACTGAAAGCTTCTGTGTACCACTGCCTAGTCATCTCATTTAGTTCTCACTAGGACTGTTCCCCTGCAACATCTTACCTGGTCTGAGTCCTGAGCTGGGTTTTTATTTTTGGACATTACATCTTCTATTAGGATAATTGTACTGTGATCCTTGCAATTTTAATTTTGCTTTCCTTGTTGGTCCCCCTGCCAGTACAGTTTTACCTGAAGTTAATTCCCACTCCATCCTATCGCTGTCACTGAAATATAATTATGTCACTTGGTTTGTGACATTAAAAAATTAAACATACCCTGTGTAGTTCAATTGCAGGAATCTAACTCTGTGCTCTGTGCCACTTCTGACAATCTTTTTATAAGGAAACAATACAAATTTTCTGCTGAAAATCAAGTCAAGCCAGTCCAAAATAGTCACAGTAGCAAGTTTGATCTTAAGTCATTCAAATAATGACTTATGAGCAAATCTCCACAAATCTCAGTGAAATCAGCTTCTACCTGATTTTGCATTAGTGCTTAAAGTTTCAGATATATGTTCAACAGCAAATGAATATTTATTAAATAAAAATTAGAAAGTTGCAGGGGTAAGGAGATCCAAAAGCACACTTCCAAATCTTTAATTCTTGCACAGCCATAAATGCATTCTAAATGGAAGCAACAGATGGAATAAAAAATACTGCAAGGTGAAGAACAAAACCCACAGCAGCCAAATTCAAACCAAACAAACCAACAAAAAACAAACAAACAAAAAAACAAAAACAAAAACAAACAAACAAAAAAAAACAAACAAACAAAAAAAACCCACAACCAATCCTGCAAAATAATAATTCATATCATGGCTAATTACAAAGGAAAGTGCTTTTACTATATCTGAAGTAAATCGATGTAAGTATAAATCTAAATTCCATCTAATTTTCTTTAAAGGCACAGAAAACTCTAATTTTTCATTGCAAAATGCATTGACTGGAAAATGCGCTTACTGTTACAAATACAAAGAAAGACCATTCTGTACACAGAAGTGAAGCAGAAAGCTTGCAGTTGAGATACGGAAGGGTGAGCATCTCCTGTTTGCAGGCAAAATCACTGCTATGGGGGCTGGGAGGGAAGGGCCGGGTGGCCCCGTCGCGTCCCGCAGCAGGTGGAACGAGTGCCGAGCGCTCCCTGCTCCCCACCTGCCCGAGAACGGTCAAAGCAGGTGGAGAACGCAAAGCAACTTCCCCGCCCAGGCCCCACTCCGCACCCGGGAAATCCCCAGGCAGCTACGGTACCGGGAGAATAAAAGCAATGGGGACAGCAGGGCGGCACAGCCAGCGCCCGAAGTGACCAGCCGACAGCCCCAGCCATGAGCTCACGCCTCCTCCTCGCGCTGCTCTTAGCCGCCGTCGCCGCGTCCTGCTGGGGTGAGAGCACAGGGGGGTGGGACGCGGACGTAGATGGGGATACGGGCGGGGGGTGCGACGCGGGGTCCTGCAGCCAGGCTGAGCCGACCTCCCCGCCGCAGGTGCGCCGCCGGCCGGAGAGCTGCGCTGCCGCTGCGTGCGGGCCGTAGCCGAGCGCATCCCGCCGCGGCGCTTGGTCCAGGTGGAGCTCATCCCCGAGGGGCCTCACTGCGCCGTACCAGAAGTCATGTGAGTTGTCCCTGTCCTCGACCCCCTCTCCCCCGACCCCGCCTGACTCCGCTCGCCCCGCAGAGCCACGACGAAGCAGGGCCACACGCTGTGCCTCAGTCCTTCGTTGCCGTGGGTGAAGCTGCTCGTCGCCAGATTCCTCAGCAGGTACCTAACGCGGGGCCTCCCCAGCTTCCAGAGCCGTGGCGGCCGGGGCCGCAGCGCTGAGCGCCCGCTCTCTGCTTGCAGTGCTGCCCAGCGGAGCTGAGCGTGGCGGGATGCGGCTGGCACTTGTGGAGCACCCTAACGGAGCGTCTTCGTTCCCGGTGGTCTGAGTGCGCGGATTTGACTGCTGCAACAGGGAAGCGCTGCCTGCAGTTTGGACGTTGAAAAGCACCGCCCTCAAGTTTTGTCCTCTTCTGCCTTGAAAACTTGCTTTCGGGGTGTAGTTCAGGAGAAGACTCACAGAGATTATCCTGAATTCTTTCAGTGGAAAAGCTTTGCCTGGACTCCAGCATCGGCAAGCCACTGGTGGGGCTCCTTAGGCACGTTATGTTATTTTGCATAGCATAATGTCATAACTTATATGAAGTCATGTATGTAGCAGCCACTGCACTGATGAATGTTTTATTATAGTCCAGAATCCCTTTTGGAACTGTATGTATGCAGTTCCTCCGTTCTTCATATTTCTGTCCAGCAGAAAACTTGACAGGAGGAATCCAATCACTTCTAAACAGCGGTCATTAACTGTCATCAAGGTGGGACAGCCATGTGATTTCTACACGTCCGCTAATGGCAGTCTTTCCAAATGTCAGAGAACATGTCCTGTAGTTATTTATGCGCACTTACTGTGTAGAAACATCAGCAGCACACAACAGAACAAGTGTAAAAAGTGCCTGTAAATTAAATGGAAAACTATTTTCTATATGCTAATTGCTATGTATGTTTCCTAATTAAAATTTTTTCCTTTGTTAATTCTATTGTTTTGCTTCTTGAAAATAAACATCAAGTATGCCCAGTGTCTGTTTTATGTGTTAACGTAAATGAGAAACATCAAATCTCATTGGTAAATGGCTTCGATAAGTCACGTCCATCGATATCTTTCAGTGCTCCAAAATTACAGTCCTCATCATTCCTTTACTTTAATGGCAGCCCTAGACTGGAGCATGAGGACTGAGCCTCTTTCCCTTGGTCCCATTTGCAGGGAAACACGTGGCATGGGCTTTCACAGCTCAGGCAGCACAATTTATTGCTGATAAACGGTTGCAAAGGAAGAACACTATTCTCACTTAGTTTTTAAGCGCATCCTAGGTGTACCCCTATGGTTTACATTTGCACAGAGCCTAGGACTCCTGTCCCTGTTTGGTATGCACGTGCACTGTCTTCTTCACGTGTCAGTGAAAGAAAGGTTGTATCAGAAAGCTGGCAGGCACCAGAGGAGAGAAGTGAATAGGTTTGCTCACTGGGGGAGTAGAAAGGAGCCATGCTGTCAACTGCTCCCTCCTTGCCCGCTGGACATCTTCTGCCTTCTGGGTTGCTGCCAGGTGGCCAGAGGAGACTGTGAAGGACTAATGAAGGACAGCACAAGCAGCAACTGTAATTCTCAACTCTCTTTGAGAATGGCAGCAGCATTTCTGCACTTCTGTTATTCTCTGAGTATCTTTAGTTCCATCCCCTCAGTGCTAATACATTTCAATTGGTCCTGGTTGGCTGAATGTTTTTTTTTTTTTTTTGTCTTTTTCTCACTGCATTTGCTACAGGTCTGTAGCTGCCAGGAGCAGTGGGAGAATCTTCAATCTTTGCAGCTAGTTTGCTGCAAAAATATGATTGCTTTAATTAGATGACCTGGTAGTAGAGTGTTACTGAAATCCAGTTCTGCATCTGTCTGGCAGCATCCAGCCCAGTTTCCTTAGTAAATAAACTCAATTGTGATGAAACTGCCTTGACTGTTCTCTGCTCCCCTGGAGACTTTTGAGTGTTGGCTACTTCCACAGTATTTTTCAGATGTTTTCTGAAAGTTTACGGGTAGCAGTAGACATTCTCATCAGAACCTAAGTAAACTAAGCTTTCATGACATAGTAGAAAACCTTTGGCAGGGAGGGAGAGAGAAGTTACAAAGACCTTAATTGGATGAACTTTCAGGATTGCTTCTGTGCATAATTAGACATCAGAAAATCCAATCCCAAAACTCAAATCCACTAAAAACCAGACATCATCACTCCTGCTGTTTGTTTGCACAAGGCACCTTAATTAACCATTGCAATAATCCTCAATCATTGAGAGGAGGGTCAGGGCTCTTGTTAAAGACAGATTAGTGCTATGGAGCCTTCGTTCAATATCCTAAAAAATTTCTCTATTTTCTGTGCAAAGCAGAAGGATGAACTGTGCAAATTGCATATTTTCATGTTATAACATGTCTTTTTATTCTCTTTGTGTCAACAAATAGAGGTATTGACATACTGACCTCATCAGATAAATTCTTTTCTAGCTACTCCTTCTCCTTGAGCTTTCCTGATTCATACTCCCTTCCTTGTCCCTGCTTACGGGAGGCACAAGGAGAACATAGCTATGGCTTCTCACCACGCAAACTGGCAATGGACCAGCCAGTGTCTCTTCTCTCTCACCAATAACTAATGACCAAGTATGACACCTGGTTGTCTCAATTAGAAAAGGCTAGGGAACCTCCCTGTAGCTGGAAAAAAACCTGGTCAGGAGGTTGGGCTGATCCCACTGGCAAAATGCAGCTAGCTGCCCCGAGTGATGTAGGCATAACCGTTCATGCCCTCAAATCTGATATTAAACTATGCTCTCAAATAAAAAAATTATGAAGAAAATATCTGAAAGTGGATGGATTCCACATTCATAATTTCAGCTGCATCCTAATCATAGCCTTCACTGAAGATTATCTTATTGGTTCCCATACAAAGGACTAGTTGCATGATATTCTGAATCCTGAGGCAAAAGACACAAGGTGTTGTTGTTTCGCACAGAGATAAAGAAAACGGTGCTCACCTAACTTTTTGCAACCTTTTTTTCTGAAATTGGTTCCTGATAATACCACTTTGAATGTGGGGTTAGTCTTGCACAACTTAAAGGGCAGTGGCCAAGTGGTACTCCTGACTGTGAGCCTTTTTTTGCATCTTTGTGTAACTCAAGTTTCCTCTCACTCTGTTGGTACAGAAGATTTTTGCACTACGATTTTCCAGAACCCTAGGCTGGGTAATGGTCAGGTCAGCCCTTGAGGAGTTTGGTATGTCAGAGAATTAAGACATTCTAGCCCATCAAAAATGTTTTTATGAACGTCAAACAAAATGGTCAATTACATCACAGGAAAATGACTGAGCAAGTAAGCTCCTTCACAAGCAATGCAGATGGTATCCATTTGTCAAACAAGCCACAGCTGCTGATTGAAGAGTATTTCCTTTTTGGCACTGTGAAGCAATCTAAGAGCTTCTTTCACCCATCTCTGCACCCCTTTCTGCAATGTTTTCTTCCTCAACACACCTCTGACATGATTTTACGGTTAAAAGCTGCTCAGCATTCAGATTTCCCTTTAAAATCTTAACAGCTTATGTGCTGAATTCATTCTGAATCATGCTATAATTCACATCCAGAACAGTCAGTGGTGAATCAATGTATGAGAATGAAATTTTCCTAGCTGAGGAATAATAATAGATCTTACTTTAAAAAGCTGCACCAGCACAAGGGAGAAGGTGTGAGGAGCAGCAGAACCCATTGTCTAGTTAAATTTATGAACCCTGAGCAGGTTAAGCTCCACATACCATCAACATCAGTCCTCTAGATTTTTGACATGACTTTCTATTAGCAAAAAAAAAAAATAAAAAAGGGAATCTTCCCAGTTCACAAGTAGCATAGGTTAACTTGAAGGTAGCTTGTTTTCTTCAAGTCCCTCTCAGTTACTTCTTATGAAATCTACCACTGGAGACAAATAAGACTAGAAAGCAGCTTTTCAGATGTTTGAGAAGGCAAAGGAAAGTACTATTACACATGACCACATTGCTAGAACTGATAGTTCGAGAAAACACGAGAGATTCTCACTGCAAGGGGAGTTTGTCATTCCTAATTTACTATTCGCATATTTAGTACTCCAAACCAAATAATTCACACTGCTCTAAATTGCATGTATCTCAGCCTATTTCTGGACTTAAATTCCTGCTAAGAGATTTGAATGAGACTGAAGTATTTACTCTAATGAAATGACACAAGACATTGACCACAATCTAACAGAGAAATTATTTTCTTCTAAGAGATAGGCCCTTACTGTGTCATTTACAGAGATCTTGTAAGACCTCAGAGACTGCTGCCTTCATTCTCTAAGTTCTTCCTAAATTCTTCAGAAGAAAAGCAAAATGCTGGCCAGCCCTAATTGTTCTAATTCTTGTCTATTTAAAACAGACCTAAAGTCAGTGAAGAGAAGTTGACTTCATCTAAGTTACTGTAAATCTTATCACTGACGTCAGTGCAGTGAGGACGGCACCCAACAAACATGTTTCCACTGAAGTTCAAGAGACCTTTGCCCATAATGCCATCAGGAGGACTGTGCTCAAGTCCAGGCTGCTACAGGGTTGGCACTTTCTAAAGAAGAAAGCTTGTTTGCACAGAACACTGCTGCAAAAAGAAAAACAAACATCTTCTCGAGAACAATGAGAAGATTTCCCCAAATAAACAAGAGTCAGCACACAGTGCCACATTTATAAACATCCACAAGATGGGAAATGTTAGCTTATATTGTTTTGAGGGCCAAATACCTGAAATATGGGGGGAAAAAAAAAAAAAATGTAGAAAGCAGTTTATAAAGGCTATATCCCTTACATTTTAAACTAGCCTGAGTCTCTATTACCATTTTGCACCTCGCACACTTAGTATATCAATTCAGTTTCTAATCAGAATACTTTTGCTTTGGAGAGACAGGATTCTTAGCATGAAGATGTCATTCTTTACCTGGGCATCTTGTAAGATAGTTCCACAATAACAGGTAGGGTTGTAGCTGAGGTTTGGTGTTGTGGAACAGGAGCTAGCACCTAGGCTAGTGTTTGATAGCTGGTGTTTGAGCCAGAACCTGTCATTCTTACAGAAAGCTCCTGAGCAAGGCAGAAGAATTACAGGCTAGTAGAAGCCAGATATTTGCTCCCTACCATTTGGGAGACCATCTTGATGAGAGGCAGGCACTCTGGAGGGAAATATGAATTCCCCCCACTCCTGAGATCTGTCCCTTCTGCTTAGTTTAGCACTTCCTTAACTTCCTGCAGAGAGGCCAAAGGAAGAAATATTTCAGCATCCCAAGGCATACAGGTCTGACAGACCTAGGGCCATAGAGCATTAGCTGTAACAGCTCATTAGCAGCAATACAGTCCAAATGGTCAGTGGTCAGTGCACGAGGAAATAGTTGACAGATGAATTGTAAACCCCGAGTCATTTATAATGGTCTTTGTTGTCAGCTTCCCTCTTCCTAAGAATATTTAGCAATTAAGGAGAGAGTAGGTTTGCAGGCTTTCAGACACCACAGTAATAAATCAGTCTGCTTTGCCATCTTCCCTTGCCCAAGCTGAAAAGAATTAAATGCCCATTGCCTAACAATGTATTATTTCTTTTGCTGCTTGGATTAAGGAAAAAATGTTATCATAATTATTACACCTTAGAAAAGATTGTGGTGGAAAATTTTCAATCATGTTTCATTGTTCCAAAAAGCACACTAGCAATCCAATAGGTGTCTCCTTGAGCCAGAAAACTGAAATGAGGAAACACACAGTCTCCGAATACTGGGAAGACAGGGTGGGATTCCAGCGACACCACTGAACACAACTCTGCACTCGGAGGTGTTCCCCCAGCAGACTTTAAGCCTTAACATCTTTCTTTTCAGCAAGCTGGACTAGGAATGCTACGCAGCCCTTCAAATAATATCTAGGGTCAGTTGCTTTCCAGTTAACAAAGTCCACAATAAAATTAGTGTGTTTGGCAGAGAAATATGGGTGTTAAGTTTAAATTTGAACATA